ATTTATAAACCCTAAAGTAATGGCTGTAACTATGGACGCTCTGTCTGCAATCCTACATTACGGTACGACGTAACATCCCTCCATCCATTTTCTGGACCGCTTTATCCACACAACAGTCTCGTCCATATTAAAAGTTTGCTGGGGAAGACATTCCTCGGCCTTGATGAGATTTTCAAACTCAACTTTAAACTTTTCGGCAGCTTCCTTGTCTGAACTAGCTGCCTCCCCATGACGAATCACTTCTTTTGCTCAACTTTTCGAACCATCCTCTGCTTGCTTTAAAATCAAACTCTTCAGGAGCAATGCTAGATCCTTTTTTTATCAAATCTCCATACAATTGTCTTGTTTTGCCATAAATCGTATCTTGGCTAAGACTGTCTCCTGCTAGCTGTTTCTCATTTATGAAAATAAGCAAAGGTTTCTCCACTTCCTCTAATATTTGTGGCCTTTGTTCACTAAACACACGAGATCCTTTAGCCACATCACTGACTTTATGATGGTCTTTATTTTTTAGTATGCTGCTGATTTCGGCATGCCGAACTCCTTAGCCAGCACAGACACATGCACACCTGATTCATATTTCACGATCAAATCTTTCTTAAATTCAATAGTTGTGCGCACTATTTTCCTCTTTTTTCAGCAGCTTTACTACTTCCACTTGCTTTCTTTGGTGCCATGCAGAAATAACAGTCCAATGCGCGTCGATCTCAACAAACACGTCTGCTTTTTTAAAAAAAATCTTTATTGAACACGTCTGCTCACAATGGACGCACAATGGACGCTCTTTTTTAAAAAATCTTTGAACACGTCTGCTCGCAATGGACGCTGTTTTTTTTTTTTAAATCTTTGAACACGTCTGCTCACAACAGAGGCGTCACTTTTTCGTCACCCAGAGGAAGCATCACTTCCTCGTGTCAGGAAGTCGAGAAGTTGAGTGGCGCATTCGAGTGCGCTCAGTTTGGTCGAGAACCCAATTTCGGTCGTAATCCGAGGCATAAAAAAAAAAAAAAACTCAAAATTTTTGGTCGAAAAGCGATTTGGTCGAGAACAGAGACGTTCGAAAACCGATGTTTTGACTGTACATTTCACCCAATATAGCAAGCGAGGTTTACTTGAGGGTTTTTTTTTAGTCTTAAATTAAATCTTCTTGCTTGGCTCTCGACGAAGGCGGACGCTTTTGCTTTCTACTCCTGCCCCCCCCCCCCCTTCCCT